TTGTTTTGTTTTTTTTTTTAAGCCCTTGGCTTAGATAAGAAATTATATACTTTTCTTTATTTTTATAATATATTAAAAAAATTTATAAAAAATTTAACCCTTTTCGGCCTTATTTTTTTGGGGGCCCTAGGCAGGTGCCTCACCTGCCTAGCCCTTGAGCCGGCCCTGGATACGATATTTCGATTCTCCAAGAAGAAAATAAAAGAAAACAAAACGAGGCGTTTGGATTCCTTCATTAGAGAGTTGGTAACAAGTAGAGAAAGGTGAAGAGATAACGAAATTAACAAACATGAGTTTGATTGGTCATCTTTTCCCTCCACTGGATCCCTCACTCATCAGATCTTCAAGAACCGCCATTACCACACCCTCCCTTCACCATCAAATCCCTCCAATTTCTTCACAAAATCCCAATACAAAGCCAATTCTTTTATCCAATTTACTTTCTTTAGCACTCACTGTAACCTTGACTTCTCCATTACCTTCGTCAGCCATCCCTTCTATCAACTCTCAGTCTCCTCTTCTCCCTACTACCACCCCATTTTCTCAGTCCAAGAACTTGCAAGTAGGATTAGAAGATGGGTATGATTATTAACATTCACATTATGTTTTCTCTGAGTTTAATTAACAGTTCATGATAGCTTTATTTATGCAGTCAATTAATGGTCTCTTCTTGCAGGAAAATTAGGCCTTGTCCATCAACAAATCCAGGTTGTGTGTCAACAAACCCCAAATCGTCGTCATTTGCCTTTCCATGGACGATTCCCGAGAATTCCAAAGGGAACGCAGTTCAGGTTTAAAGGGCATATGCCTATATAGTATATATACGTGTCCATCGAATTTAATTTATTTGTTAATTCAGTTTTGCAGATTGAATTAACAGGTTTGTTTCTGCTTTTCTTACAGGAATTGCAGGAAGCTATCTTGAAAACACAGAAAAATGCCAAAATTCAAGTTGTTGAAGATACCCCTTATGGTAATTTTCTTGAATTAAACCAAAAAATTGTAATGCACTTGCACAGATTGTGTTGCAAATTAATTGTAAGTACTCTGATTAGTGTGTATCATAATCAAACCAAAAGCTTAAATGAAGGAAGATAATAGGAACAAAAACTACATTAAGGCTTTTTATTCCTCTATATATGTGTATTAATTTTGAGAAAGCTAGTGGGTGCATTGTTTAATACATCTAACTTTTTACTTTCCCCATAAGACACTACTGATAATGGGAAGAAATCCAGGTCAATATTTGCAGGCTGAAGTTGATGGAGGGTTTGGGCGGGATGTGCTAGAGTTTTTGGTAAAAAGAGATGTGTGTGCTTATAGGTCAGTTGCCACAAAAGTAACCTATGTATATCCCTTCACAACAGCTTTAGGGGACTCAAAGGGACAGGAAGAAAGAATGCAGAAAATTTCGGATGAGTTGGGCTGGTATGCTCCAAGTTTCAGTTCCATGGATTAGACTTCTCTCATATCTCAGGTACAAAGAGATCATGGGCTTAAGCCTTTTTCTGTATAGGATTATATTAATCCATGTTTAGCCATCAGGTTTCATAGTTGATATTACTAAATTTTACTGTCTAATACTCAGCAACCTGATATAGCCGAGAAAGGCAGGTTTTACAATTATGAATTCTTCTTAATTCAACTTTGTGATATATCATTGCTAAAACCATTTCTGGATTCTGCAAAGTCTATTCATGGACAACGCTTCACTATGTGGTTTCATTCCTCTGTCTGACTGCTAAGTTAATTGATTTTAATTTAAAATTGATCCAAATGGTTAATATAAGCAATCCAGTTGTAGCATATTGCCATATCTTGTTGAACAGCGATATTGCCAAGCTAACCCAAATTTACGAACATTATATTTTATGGAAGTTGGTTCTACTACTCTGTAAGCAGGTCCTGGTAGGCCATGTTGTTGGAGGAAATGAATCTGACTTCTCTTAAATAAAGTAAAAGATACAAGGGCTGAGCTTTCAAAGCATTGTGATCATTTGGTAATGATATTTGTTGTTGTTATAGCATACACTTATGCAGAAGAATAATTGTGACAATGTATGTTAATGGTCCTGGGATTCCTGTTATGGCACAAAAAAACTGAACTGAAAATGTTTAGATTATCAATCAGTAATGATGAAAATATGAGTGTACTTGCAGATTTGTGATTTGTAGAAAGCTGAATGCGATTGTGACGTTGAAATTTATGGGTTTTCTGGTATATCAGGGGTCCTTTGGTGGATGAGTTATGAGCATTTTGTTAGTCATGGTTCTATATTATGAGTATATTTGTTATATAAAGAATTCATAATGTTATTTTAGTGTTGTCTTGTGAGTGGCTGAAAGAGAGGCCTGATAAATTACTTGACGTGTGGAGAAACTTGAAAAATATAAGCATCATATTATCGATCTTCAACTAGTAATTACTATCAAGGTGGAACTCATAATTCTGGAGTTACTTAATTCTTTTTGAAATCAAATTAAATTTCCATTTTTAATTTGCTTTGTTCTGCAATTGGGTTTCATTCTTCAACTTTGAAACTTATAAACTTATCATATTACCATCAAAAGTCTAGACATATGTTTGATATAGAAATATGTGTTATTTTTCCATCTGCCACTATTGCTGAGAGTGAATTAATTTACTCTTGTGGCTGTGTGGTAACCTTTGGTTACCATAATCCAAGGGTTGTCAAAGTGGGTTACATCTGTAATTGCTGAAGTCTGCTTTTAAGAAAACGTGTACAAATAATATTAATAATAAGAGAACCACAAGTGCAGAACATCTAACGCAGAAAACGAATATACTTTTTGGTTGGTCCCAGAGGACCCTGATTTCTGATATGCATAAGCCTGTTCTTTTCAAAGTTTGCAACTCACATTTGGATTCTTAATTATTAATGTATTTATTGGGCATTGCTATCAGATGGATATGGATGATTTTACCTTAACCCATTTAAAAACTATTGAATTTATTAGTCTACCCATTTGGGTCTGCCGATAGAGACCTTTATTTTTATTTTTGCATTTGGATCCTTATTATAGGAGATATTATATTAACGAAAAAAAAATCACTTTGAAGATTATTAAAAATGTTTAGAAAATGTGTTTAATTGATTCAAATAAATTAGTAAAAAATATGTTTGGTTGAGATGATAAATTGGTAGGTATGTTATATAACTTATATAGATTACTAAATTTTCATCTTTTTTATATATTAATATAATAGTATTTTTTATTATTATTTTTTGAATCATTTTTTAACCCCTTACATTTGAAATTTTGCTAAAACACCTCAACCATATAAAACTTTAATTTGTAACAAAATCATCCTTACCTACCCCAAGCCACTGTCGGTAGCCAACCACCACCGCCAGCAGCCGACGAAATGGTGCATGACTAGTCGTATATGGCCGGTTGTGCGTTAACAAAGCCGAAAATGGCCATAGATAACAAATCCATGGTTGAAAAACGGCCAAATCTATGGCCATTTTACGACCAAAGATGTGGCCATGAAATGGCCACAAACCTGGCTGTGAAAAGGCTAGGCCAGATCTGCAGTAGTTTCACGGCCACATCTTTGGTTGTGAAACGACCATAGATCTAGCTGTTTCTAACTGTTTTTGGCCATGGATCAGAATCCTTACCGACGCACGATTGGCCAGATCCCGTCGGTCGTGCACCATTACAACGATTGACGTCGACAGCTGGCGGTGATGAGTCACGACCAGTAGTGGTCTTGGGTGGCTGGGGGTATTTTGTTAACTTTTAAACTTTTTTATGATTGGGGTGTTTTAGTTAATTTCTCAAATGTAGGGGGGTTGGATAATTGTTATTTGGTTGACATTTGAGTGTCCGAAATGCTTTTTAATTAAAGGTAAAATAGGTAGAAAAATCAGATTACTCTAATAATGTTTTAATCCCCGGGGTGGGAGAGGGTACCAGATTACCCCTTACATTACCAACAGTAAACACTATTTACAATAAAAGATTCTCGTAATATTTTATTACTTATAACCAAACACTAGAATCTTACAAAATAAATGAAGATTATCCATGTTATCTTATATACCCCCATCCAAATGCCCCCTATAAGGATTACCAAAAAAAACAAAACAAATATAATATCGTAAAAGAAATGTTACTATCAGACTACCACCACGAAATATGAAGAATCCAGAAATTTTTAATTGCCAAATATCTGTTATTTTTTAATTGAATTATCGTCTCAAGCAAGCAACAGAAAGACCAACAAGCTAAAGGTTTGTGTAGTACCTTAGAGAGATCTGATGCATGCATTACTATTATAATTCAAAAAACGAATAGAAAAACAGAAAGATAGACACATTATCTATGGCCAGTTTTTTAAATATCCACTGGACAGCACGTTAAACAATTTTCCATTATTAATTTACTGATAAGAAGCTATTATCAACTACTCTTCAAACATTTTAATGGGGATATTACAAAATGTTAATCTTTTTTATTTTTCCTTCTTCTTGTCTTGCGTTAGAGAGAAGGTGTTCCGGAAAACTCTGGTATACTTTTGTCCAACTCATACATCAATATGCTATTTCAGTGAAGTGTTATTGAAATAACCATATTAAAATTGGTATACATTATACTCGGAATGTATAATGTTTTTCTCCTAATACTGGTATTAAAACAAGAGTTGAAATGTAATATTAAGTTAATTTTAGAATTCATAGATTAATCGAAGTGTGAATAAATTGTTTAGGAATTTAAAAAAAAAAAAAAAAAGAAAGGTAATATTAAGCATGTGATTCGTAAAACATAACCAGAGTACCTGACGTGTACTGCAATGAGCCAATGAGTGACAGCTACATATCAGCGAGTTAGTGATTCGGTGAGCTTTCTATTAATTTATTCTTTATTAACAGATTAAGAATATTATAAATTTATTTTTAATCTAATATTATAAAATCAACCATTAACATTTGCCTTTGCCATTTCTATTTGTTAGCTGCCATAATTAAAAAGAGAAATTTTTTTGTCCCCATGACCATGACTGAATATCATTATTGCAGTTACAACGACCGTCTGTCGACGATGAGTCCATGACTGTTTTATCGAGCGGTGGTCCAATAGCCCACGTTTTGCTATCATTCTTATATAAGATTGAAAGAAAAGAAATTCAAAGCAAAGACAAGTCAATTATATAGGTTATCTTTTAACTTCGAACTCAGCTTACGTAGACTTGTATTAATCCTCATCAAGATCTAAAAGACTTGCTGAAGAGAAAGAGATACACTTGTTTAACTTGGTTTTGGACAAGTGATTCAATATGTTACGTTTACCAGAGAAACTGAAGACGTTTGCTAACAACAGATGGCTCGTGTTTGTGTGTGCAATGTGGGTTCAGTCCTGTGCAGGAGTTGGTTACCTGTTTGGGAGCATATCACCTGTGATAAAAAGTGCTATGGGTTACAACCAGAGACAGGTTGCTCTTTTGGGTGTGGCCAAGGATCTGGGAGACAGTATTGGGTTCGTAGCGGGGAGTTTGGTTGAGATTTTGCCGGTTTGGTCGCTTATGCTCATCGGGGTGGTGCAGAACTTTGTTGGATATGGCTTAGTTTGGCTTATTGTCACCGATAGATTGCCTGCTTTGCCTCTTTGGGTGGTGAGTAGCATTTTTTTTTCTTCTTGCTTTCAAGTTTGGTTCAGTGGTGCTCTGTTTCAGAGATTGCTCTGTTCTGCTTGTTTAGTCATTTATGGAAAGATCGATTTCTATATATTGCCTAGTGAGAGAAGTTTGACTTCTTTTGGGAACCAAGTTAAGTTTGATCTCTTACGAGTTCTCAGAAGAATTTGATTTCTATATTGAAATTTGAGAAAACATAGCTTTCTCTTGGTTTACAGATATTAATTAATTCGCCTCTTTCATTAACACTAACTATGATTATGATCTAGTAGCTCGCAGAAAACTTGGTATGTCTGCCTTTTTGATGGTTTCTTGATTGACTTTGCCACGACAGACCGAAATTAAAAATCAGTGGAAAATGTCAAACCAGAGAAGACTGGTGTTTCTTTTTCTCCACAGAAATTAATCATCACGCTGGTTGATCCTGATATAATTCAGATCAAAGTCGTGCGACCTAACTTCTTCTCTTCTGAATTTCTATGGGGTGTGGATGATTTTTCAAAGTGCCAATGATTAATTAACCAGTAATTTGCTATTTGAGTTGTATTTCTCCATCAAATTTCTCTTTCCTATTAAAATTATTTAACTTCCTTTTTCTAGTACTTCAATGTCTTTCCTTCGATCTCAATAAAATGGTTGTTATAACTGTATCCCAAGTAAGTCTTTACTTATGTTCGCATTAGTAAAGAATTTTTTCTGGGAAATTACCTTTTACTGCTTTCCTCTGAAGAGACTTGAAAAGAATTTGCACAATAATGTGTATGATGAGAGAAGCGCTTGGGCTCTGTATGATTTACTTACCTTGCATTGATCAGTGGCCAGCATCAAAGTGGTACCTTATTAAAGATTTATGTTTGATTGAAAAATAGCCTTTTGATTATTGATGACAGATATGTCCTGGGTGTCTCTGTGAGAACTGAGAAGAACAAGTACATGACCAGAAAATGCCCTTAGATCATAGTCTAATTTATTTGGTTTGTTATTAGAGAATGAAAAAATTATTTGGTTTGTTATTAAAGTAGGTTAGTAGTTTTCTTCAATTATTACAAGCAAGTAAACGTTTTGAGGGTTTTTCTTCTACAGCTATGCCTTGCTATATTTGTTGGAACCAATGGGGAGACTTACTTCAACACAGCTGCACTGGTTTCATGCGTTCAGAACTTCCCAAAACACCGTGGTCCTATTGTGGGGATACTGAAAGGATTTGCTGGGTTAAGTGGTGCTATTTTGACTCAAATTTATCTCATGATCAATGCTCCTAGTGAAGCAGCACTGATTTTCGTGGTTGCAGTTGGACCATCAATGGTTGTAATTGCTCTCATGTTCATTGTTAGACCAGTCGGGGGTCACAAACAAATCAGACCATCTGATAACTCAAGCTTCCTGTTTACATACTCTGTTTGCCTCGTTCTGGCAGCTTATTTGTTGGGCGTCTTGGTGCTTGAGGATGTAGTTGATTTGAGTCAAACTGTGGTCACACTAATTGCGGTGATCCTGATCATAATCATATTGCTTCCGATAATAATTCCTGTTCTATTGGTTTTCTTCTCAGAACGGAGACCTTCCGTAGAGGAGAGCCTTCTCTCTGGACCAAGTAATTCTGAGCAGGATGGTGAGGAGGTCATTCTAAGTGAGGTTGAAGATGAGAAACCTCCAGAAGTTGACTCACTTCCGGCGTCACAGAGACAAAAACGAATTGCTCAGTTGCAAGCTAAACTGTTCCAAGCAGCAGCAGTAGGAGGAGTGAGGGTCAAGGGGAGAAAAGGCCCACGCAGAGGAGAGGATTTCACTTTATTTCAGGCAATGATGAAAGCAGATTTTTTGCTTCTGTTCTTCTCCCTCGTTCTAGCTGCTGGATCTGGTTTGACAATTATTGATAATCTGGGTCAGATTTGTGAATCTCTTGGCTATACTGATACAAATATATATGTGTCCATGATCAGCATTTGGAACTTTCTTGGCCGTGTTGGTGGCGGTTACTTCTCAGAGACAATAGTAAGGTGCAAACTAATTGTTTTTAATTCATAACTTGATCAATTTCACTTAAGCTAATTGGGAATTTTCATTTATCTTTGTTTTGCTTGTTCCTTATTTGTCCAGAAATTTTGCCTACCCAAGACCCGTGGCCATGGCTGTGGTTCAGGTTGTCATGGCTATTGCACTCGTTTACTATGCCATGGGATGGCCTGGTCAAATATATGTTACAACTGTATTGGTAGGACTTGGTTATGGTGCCCACTGGGGAATTGTGCCCGCTGCAGTTTCGGAGCTATTTGGCTTGAAGAGTTTTGGAGCCTTATATAATTTTCTGACACTGGCAAGTCCTGCTGGTTCTCTGGTATTCTCTGGAGTTATTGCTAGTGGAATATATGACTACTTCGCAGAGAAGCAAGCTGGCCTTCTAAAGCAATATACAGGAAAATTGCTTGCAGTTTCTCTTCGTACTGAAGAATCACTTACTTGTGTTGGTACCATATGCTACTCTATCACTTGTGGGATCATGGCAGGGTTATGCATCATTGCAATGGTGTTGAGTTTGATTGTCGTCTATAGGACTAAGAGTGTTTATGCTGAACTCTATGGGAAGTCTCGTAACTGAGTCATAAGGAGAAGTAACATATGATTGTTTTGCATGGTCGATAGATAAGAGCGAAGAATTTATCATATTTGTGGCTAGATTCTTTTATCGGCAAGAAAGCTGGAGCATGCATTCTGCTCAAAATACTACTTGAGGACCAGTAATAAAGCAGGCCTCTGAAGCTCTTTTGTTTCAAATGGTGATAGAATTCATTTCTTGTCAGGGTCATTTCATTTTCTATAGTTTGATTCTTGAAATGCCAATGATTCCTTGCAGACCTGCAGATTATTTTATTCATCTGTAGGCCATAAGCAGGATCATGGTTCCATACTTCCATTGTTTAGTTCCTGGTGTAGCAATTATCATAATCGCATCTACTTCCTACTTAATGATTAGATTTCCCTTCTACGACTTGCTTTAAATGGCTACGAAAAGAAGTATTGAAATTGATTTTGATGAGAGAAATAAACTTGATGGCATGTTCAAGTTCAAGATTTCTTTGTGCTTGGAGTTTTTAACTTACAGATTACTTTAAATCCCTCTTACAACTCTCTCGCACCAAGATAATAGAATGAATTGCTTGAACTTGATGGCATTTTCTCTTCATTTCATTCTATATAGCAGAGTACCCTGGAAAATTTGGGAAGTTATATTGTTAAAAAAGAAGTGACTGATAATTAATGCTATACTGGAAATTGTATCCCATCAGAAAATAGTCCCAACAGTTCTTTGATTTTGGCTGTATAAAGAAGAGTTCTGAAAGATTTTCCAGGCATATTATCTAGTCTGATCCTTGAAAATGCTTTAGTTCCTTGAGAAAAAAGATTATTTGATTGCAGAAAAGCAGTGTTCGAGTAATGCTGTTGCAGAACATATGGTAAATGAGATCTTAAACGCAGTGCATTTGATCTAATGTTGTAGCAAAAAATGATAAGTTGCATTTGTATGCAAGACTGTAAACTCTTCTGATTCATCTTCACTTGCTGTTTCTGATTAAGCATAGAATTGGATTATTTCTTCAAGAAAATCTCGATAGCCACATTATTCATGTTTGGATTTCAACCCTGCCAGTGAAATGTTTTAAGGAGTAGCATTATGGTGCTGTATCTGGTTATGTTTGAAAGTATTATTGGGTGGTAATGGTATGAGACAGATTAATTTGAACTACTGATAAATGCATTGAATGCAAAGTCTATTTGTCAACAAAATTCAGAGCATAAGGGAGAAGCAGTAATTTCTTTAATGTGCTGAATTCCTGTATCTATAGAACTTAGTTAATTCATTACCTTCATAAATTTAAAAAAACTTGACCCTGGTGAGGAAAATCCATGCTACATCAACCTAGATTTCTAAATATGGATATAATGAATATGATATTGCCCAGAGTTTCCTCAATATGAACTTCTTAGATTCCAAGAATTAAATTGATCTTTATCCTCAACTAGTTTTTTTAAAGAATTAAAAAATTAAAATAAGAATATAAATTCAAAATTCTTTAGATAACTTGCAATATGATTTATATTTCAACAAATTTATTCTAGCCAATTAGGATATACATTATACAATAGTAAAGCATTTAGCACTTCAAAGCAAGAAAAAATCATTATATGCGTTATTTGTTACCTAGAAATTCCCACTAATTAATTTTCCATAATTAGCCAACCTGGATTTTTAAAACTTTTATAACCTGAGTTAAAATAAACCATTGTTAAGGTTTTACCATTATACACAAATAGTTTTTTTTTTTTTTTTTTTAAATATCCAACAAAAATACAAAATACTTGGAATATGGAAAACCCCATATTACCTTTTTTGTTTAATTAGTATATTATATTATAAATATGCAAAAAATTATGCATTTTCTTTTTCTAGTAGTGGGTTTTAATATTTTTCTCTTTTTGGGAATTTCTTTTATTTTTTATTTTTGGCTCTGGGTGGTAAAAATAAAATACCCAAAAATCAAAATTGAGGTAGAATTCATCAAGGCGTCTCTTTGATCAATTCACTGAAATGGGTAACTTAAATTACATTTTTTTCTCCAAATTTATGTGAAAATGTATATGTTTATTGCTACGCTCGAGATTGTTAACTGGTGATAGAGACCTTTTAATTTTTAGGGTTTTAGTCAAAATCATTAAAAAGAGTTACTCGAATGTGAAAGCTAATATAAGATTACTGGTTTATTGTTTCCGGTAAATTCTGCCAAAACTCAAGTGAAACAGAGAAGCGGGTGTTTGTCACCTCCATTTCTCTTTGCTCTTTCTTTTTTTTTTTTTAATTCAATTTTGAATTGGGTTGTGGTTTGTCTACTTTGGATTGTTTATTTATCTGAATTGTATGATGACTGAGTATTATAGTTATAATGAGCAAAGAGAATTGTGTGTTTTGTTGCTGAGAAAGCATGAAAAAGATGAAGAACTGAAATGTCTTTTGCCTGTCATATGAATGATAACTTGTCATGAGATTTTGAGATTCTTCATTTTGTGAATGTTTTTCCATTAGACATACAGATAACTGATATATTTGTTTTATCATCTGCTATTGGTATGTTTCATGATTGTTGTGGAACAATGTGGGTGGAATTTTACATATGTTTTTTAAACAATTTTCTATTTTCAAGCTTGTTATGTTTTATTTTGAAAGTTCGGTACTAAAAACTTTCCCGCGCTTTCCATTGGATCATTTAATAGAAAATCTTCTATAGATGAATCTCAGAGAAGCATTCAATAGTATGGAAATTGCGTTTCTTAAACAGTTTTGTATTTCAAGTCCGTTATGCTCATTTTGGAAGTTCGGTACTCAAATTTGTTGAATTTCATAAAACTTTCCCGCGCTTTTTCCATTGGATCTTTCTATAGAAAATATTCAATAGACGCATCTCAAAAAGCATTGAATAGTATGTATATTTACATGTATTTATAAACAATTGTGTATTTTCAAGTCTGTGATGCCATTTTTGGAAGTTCGGTATGCAAATTTCTTGAATCTCATAAAAACTTTCCCACGCTTTCGATTGGATCATTTAATAGAAAATCTTCAATTGATAGATCTCAAGAAGCATTTAATACTGCTGCTATTATTGTATTAGTTATTCTGTATGATCATAGTTGTTTATATTTGTTGTGTACGAATAATTATGGCCGTATTTTTCGGTGTAAACTTCACTTCTTCATTCCTTCTTTGCTCATATCCTTTATTATGTTGCCGTATTAGGGCTTGTACAATTGAAGGCAGCTCCTTAATAATTCAGTGCTATTACCGGCATGTAGATCAAGATTCTGCTGGCTGAGTTTTTGTTGATATCCTAGCCGACTCAGATAAGCAAAGACTGAAAAATATAGTAAAAATGTCTTGCAATAAAGACGAGGCCATGAGGGCCAAAGAGCTGGCAGAGAAGAAGTTTGCAGAGAATGACATTTATGGAGCAAAAAGGGTTGCTTTAAAGGCCCAAAAGTTGTATCCTGAGCTTGATGGTCTCCCTCAATTTTTAGCAGCACTGGATGTGCATATTTCTTTTGGTGAAAGAATTAACGGAGTAGTCGATTGGTACGGGGTCCTTGGTGTAGGACCATTGGCTGATGATGACACAATCCGCAAGCATTACAGAAAACTTGCTTTAGTTCTCCATCCTGATAAAAACAAATCAGTAGGTGCAGAAGGCGCTTTTCAAATATTATCTGAAGCCTGGAGTTTGTTATCTGATAAAACCAAGAGAATTGCCTATGACCAAAAGAGGTATGCTCAAGTTTCAAATGTGAAATCATCATCATCAGTGCCTGCTGGTGAGAATGGTTTCTGTAATGTCTCCAACAATATTAATTTGAATGTGAGAGATCAGAGGTGTGCTACTTTTGCCAAGCACCCCTCTCCTCATTTTCGACCTAAACCTAATACCTTTTGGACTACCTGCAATGCTTGTAAAATGCATTTTGAGTACCTTAGAACTTATCTCAACCACAATCTTCTTTGCCCCAACTGTCGTCAGCCCTTTGTGGCTATTGAGACAACACCCCCACCTTTGAATGGTGGTATTTCCTCTGCTCCCTGGGCTAGCTATGTGCAGCAACATAATTCTAGTCAGACTACGGTGATTGAAAACTCATACGGTCTGGGGAGGAAACCGGCTCCTGCTACAAAAATGAGCTCAGCAAGTTCTTCTGGTGTTGACCTATTAAAGAAAGCCTTTCAATCAGGTGCGTTCTCGAACTCTGGCAGTGCCAGCTGTGCAGTAGCACCATCTATTTTGGCTGGTCAAGCTGCAAGTGGGATTCAGTTATCCCATGGACAACTAAAGCGAGGTCGTGAAGATGCAGCAACAGCTTTCATGAGAGGGGAAGCATTCCAAGTAAAGACTCATGATCTGAAGAAAGGAGTTTTTGGCTTATCTACTGGGTCCTCTTCTGCTGGTTTCAGTTCTGTGACAAAAGTAGATAGGCCTAAAAAGAAAAGACGCAAAGATGAACATAGGTTGAATAATATTGAAAGAGAGATGGCAAATCAAATTTCCTCCGGAATTGGGGGAGTTGGCGTGCCTGGTTCTGAAAATGGTATCTTCAAAACAGTAAAGATGAAAATTGCTGGAATCCAAAAATCTAATAGTAGTCGAGAGTTGTCACAGCTAGATATTCGGAGTATGTTGATGGGTAAAGCTAAGAAAGAGATTTGCAGAAAGCTTGACGAATGGAGCATGGAGTCGATGTTAAAGACATCACATGAATCAAGGAGTATTGGTAAGGAGATCAAAGAGAAGAAAGAAAGGCAAAAAGATAATGTGAATGGTCTGGAAACTGATGCAAAAGCATGTTCGGAGCTCTTGGATACCAAGACCGGTGTTCAGGCTGAAAAGCCGTCTCTTGCTAAGTCTGATATTGAGCCTGGTAACAAGGACATGGATCCAACATCCATGAGTGTTCTGGATCCAGATTTTCATGATTTTGACCAGGATCGTACAGAAAAATCATTTGGTGAAAACCAAGTTTGGGCTGTTTATGATGATGATGATGGGATGCCTCGTTATTATGCTATGATTCACAGAGTGATATCATTGAAACCCTTCAAAGTGCGAATCAGTTGGCTTAATTCCAAAAGCAACAACGAGCTGGCCCCATTAAATTGGGTTGCTTCGGGCTTTCCCAAGACTAGTGGAGAGTTTTGGAGAGGCAAGTATGAAGTCAATAACTCTCTTAATTCTTTCTCACATAAGGTTAGATGGGCAAAAGGCACAAGAGGGGCCATTCAAATATATCCTCGGAAGGGAGATGTCTGGGCACTGTACAGGAACTGGTCCACTAATTGGAATGAGCAAACTCCAGACGAAGTCATACACAAATATGACATGGTGGAAGTGCTAGAAGATTACAATGAGAAGACGGGTATCACTGTTATGCCCCTCATTAAAGTTCCTGGTTTGAAGACAGTGTTTCGCCAGCCTCTGGAGCAAAGTAAAACTAGAAGAATTCCAAGAGTAGAGATGTTTCGGTTCTCTCACCAAGTTCCTTCTTACTTGCTCGCAGGTCATGAAGGCCATAATGCTCCTAAGGGTTGCTTGGAACTTGATCCTGCATCCACACCTTTGGAACTTCTTCAAGTGTTAACTGAAGCTCACCTGGAAGAGATGGAAGCTACAGGCAAAGGTAAGGAAGAATATCCGTCGGAGTGTGTGAAAAATATCGAGGAAGAAGAGCTGGTGAAGAATGGCAAAACCAAGGAAAAAATCATTGCAGAAGATGTGCATAAAAAAGTTGATACAGAAAGGAAGGAAATTAGGGAAGAAAAAAAGATGTTGGTGTACAAACGGAGACGATAGCGAAATCAGGAAAGATTCAGGGTATTGAACTATTACCAATTCAGCTTTTTTGAGTATATGGGCTAACCGAAGAAGAGAATACTTATTGAAATCAAACACAATGCTAATCTTAGCAGTTCTGTTTTTGCAAAGACAGGGTTGGAGGGTAAATTAGACTTGTTTGGTTAATGGTAATTTAAATCTCCATGGCATATAAGAAAAGTCCCTTATTTGAAAGAGGAGTTATTATTATTTTTATGGTTTTTAGACACCCTCTTAAAGTAAAAAATCTTCTATAGCTGGTGAAGTTGATGTGCCCTGTATCTGCAATTTATATTCAAAATTTTGATGCACAGATTACTTTTGCAATCCTTGTTCTCGACCTCATTGGAAACTTTGGATGTAGTTCCATCTAATATTCAGCCTTGCTGCAGAAGTGTATTTCTCTTTAAATATGTGGTATAAAGAGAAATAATTTTTAAGCACTGCTGGATTGACTGCAATATTGCTAAATATTTGACTGTAGATTTGGTCAACTTATAGAAAGATATCATTGGCATAGCATTAATAAAAAAATGGCTTTTGGCTGGGAATTTATTAATGATCATTGGAGAACAAATATATTTGAGGGAAATTGAAAACCTTGTGAGAGAGGAACATATTCCCTCGTTATTATTAACCTATACTTTATAAATATAAAGTTGTTATTATTTTATTAGTGGAAAATTGTTTTAAGACTTGAGTTCACAATGTGGATCAATACAAACAAGTTATATATTTATGATTATGATCGAATTAAGGAGGTTTTATAAGTGAAGAAGGGAAGTGGGCATAGAATTCTAAAAAATAAAGTAGGTAAAAGCATAATTCAACCTGTGAAATTGTGGTACATGCATTTCTAGTATGTATGTTTGAAGGTGAGGAATATTAGTTTAAATAAATTTATTTAAAGAAATCAACAACTTTAAGGAGTGGTCCCTGGTCAAATATTTGTTTAAAACAAAGTGGTTTGCCTTAAAATTTTTATATTTGAGATGGGTGATGGTCCTTGTTAGCTTCAATTGAAAACCATACTGTAACGAAAGATGGGTTGGGTCGGTCAATACTCACAATAATATGAAAAAGGAAAAAAAAACTATAATTTAAATAATATATCATTTTAAAAAATATTATATTATTATTATTATTTTTTTGACATCAGAATAAACATATAACTGTTTCAACTAATCTTTTAAACTTTAAAATTATAAATAAAATAAGAGTTTTAGTAACTATCCCTATTAGCAATTGAGGAGATACGCAAACTTATGACCTTATAAGTAATACATTCAAAAGTCTTTATCAAATCACTATATCATTAAGAAATAATTAGAATATTGTATTTTTTGTAACTATAATTTAAGAAAAGCTATACCATTTAGAAAAAGAAAAACAATAATAAAAACTAACAAACTTAAACTTGAAGAAAGACAATAAATAGATTAAAGACAAACTGAACAGAGAAACGTGGAGAAGAGAATCTAAAAATCTTATTAGTTAAATACAAAATAACAACTCTCCTCTCGCTTGTACCTTATCCCATCCTCTCTCTCCCAAACAAAATCCCAACCGTCCATTCCTTCCTTCATCTCTACCTCCTGCAAACACATCTCCCACATCCGATCAAACAAACTCACATCTGTCCACATTTAAATCATCAAACAAACATCACCAATCCACGATCATCCATTCATCATCATCAAAAATCTTAATCATAATCAAAATCCAATGGAGAATACCCAGCAAGGTCAATCCTCCTCATACCCACAACCCCAACCTCCTTCCTCTGCTGCTGCTGCTGGCGCGCCTTTTCACCATCTCCTTCAACAGCAGCAACAGCAGCTCCAAATGTTTTGGTCTTACCAGCGTCAAGAAATCGAACAAGTCAACGATTTCAAGAACCACCAGCTCCCTCTTGCTCGTATCAAGAAAATCATGAAAGCCGATGAGGACGTTCGCATGATCTCCGCTGAAGCCCCTATTTTGTTTGCCAAGGCTTGCGAGCTTTTCATTTTGGAGCTCACTATTCGCTCCTGGCTTCACGCTGAAGAAAACAAACGAAGGACTTTACAGAAAAACGACATCGCTGCGGCCATTACTAGGACTGATATTTTTGATTTCTTGGTCGATATCGTGCCTAGAGATGAAATTAAGGATGAGGCTGCCGGATTGGGAGGGATGGTGGGGACCACCGCCAGTGGAGTGCCATATTATTATCCGCCCATGGGCCAGCCCACGGGTGCTGCTGGGCCTGGAGGGATGATGATTGGTCGGCCCGCTGTTGATCCTACTGGAGTTTATGTTCAGCCGCCCAGTCAGGCTTGGCAGTCCGTGTGGCAGACAGCGGGTACTGGAGACGACGGCTCTTATGGGAGTGGAGGGAGCGCTGGCCAAACTAATCTTGATGGCCAAAGCTAGGGTATGTTTTTTTTATAGCGATCGTTCTGCGTGCCTTTTGTTTTGGATTTTTGTGCATTTTTTTGTTGTTTCAAATTTTATTTTTGATTGTCCATTTTTTGTTTTTTCTTTGATGATTTTGCTTTTCGGTGGAGGGTTTGGTTTAAAGTAATTAGTTATTTGAAGTTTCGCAGTGTAGGACAAGAAGCTGTTTCTTTTTGGACTGATATTTAACTAACATGATTTGGAATTTTCTAGGATTTCTCTATGACTGACATCAACTTAGTAGATTTGTGTCCTAGGGTTTCTAGTTGTTGTATTTCTGTAAATCTAATCATTGATTTTCATTGAAATTACAAGTGCTGGTATGGGATTGTGATGAAGTTTCAAAGTCATTAATGCATGCAATTTTCAATCACATTTGTTTGTGTTGGTGTTGCGGAAATGCATTAACAGATGTGAAGAGGCTGTTTGTGTTCCTCCTTTAAATAAATAAAATAAAAATATAAAGGAAAGAAAACACACACACACACACACACAGCTACTCACATTGACTAACAATTGTTTTGGGGGAACTGTTAGAGGTTGAGGACGAAAGAGTGTCCAAAGAATTTGAGTTCTTTTGTAACTGTAAGCTGGATTTGAATCAGTTGTTGGAAATGATTGTCTTAGAGGAAGAATCAGAGAATGAATTGTTAAACAGCTTGAGAAATTCTATTCAAAGAAAGAGGGAAGCTTGTGAAATTTCCTTAGAGTGGTTACATGTGAGAGAGCTCTTTATGGAAGGGAGAGTTTGTACTTTGTACTGGCCACAAATGGTTCATGTTGAAGTGCTGGATATAAATTGTTCAGATAAAGTGGTTTTAGGAAATGTTATTATTACAATAGGTTAGTAACTAACCTTAATCAAAAGGATATGGGACACTAATGAAGAATTATTTGAGAAATAATCTAGTGAGCTTCCTTTTTCATCATTTACTGAAACAAGACTGGTTGAAACGGTGGATTGGTAATTGACATTTTAAACTTAAATATAGGTAACATGTAAATATATCTCCACTACTTGTTGCATTTTCTATGGCAGATATGGTTCTTTGTATCAGTTAACTTTTGAATTTTGAATGGTTAGAAATTAGAGACATGTAAATTTTAGTTACTTTAGTTGTTGTGCTTGAGTAGCTTCTAAACCATATTAAGCTGTCTCCTGCAAAAGTTGAGAGATACTTTGGGCTTCATAACTCAACCAAGCCGGATTATGGATATGATATTACCTTGGCAAGCTTGAGCACTTTATTTTTTGGCTTGGTGCCCTAGAGAGGATCAAGAATGCTACCTTCTTGAAAACTGAGTTTGCTCTGCAACTATGTTTTCTTTCTTGATTTTTGTCCTATCCTCTGTTGTTTGGCAGTCCACCATCCAATATCTTTCTGCCAGTGACAGGTCCGCATGATTGGTCCCATCAGTTAATTTTTGGCTTTAAAGGGGTTATAAGTTTAGGAATTCATGATAATAAACCGACAGAAGATGGACATTAGTCATTATTGTCTGCCATTTAAGCTTGTGCAGTTGTCAAACGGAGCTTTCTCTGAGTTTCTTAGTTAAACCCATGTTGTTTTTGGCTTGACTTTGACTTAAAGTTGAGTTCAGCTCCGGTTTAATATGACCAAGACAAGCCCCAAGTGGTTAAGTGTTATTTGGCTCTTCTCTCTGCCCTATAAATGAGGCAGTTTAGCTGGTTTATTATAGAATTTTCTGTGGAATGATATTTTCCTTCTTGAGATTGTCTGACCTCCTGTTTGCAATTAATAAACTTTAAGATCTTTTGTAATAATACAATGAGAGCTCACCGAACATGTAGGAAAGGTCAAGAGATTTCCAAAATAAAAAAAAAAAAGGGGGAGAAAATACAATTTGAAATGTGAATTTCAATCTTTTATACAATTTGAAATGTGAATTTCAATCTTTTTTGGTATTACAAATTGTGAATATCTGTTATAATGCTAGAATGTATGCTAGCTTTCTTAATCACAATGAACATCCTTCCAATTTGATTTGAAGCTATATTTATGTAGTTTGATCTTGAATTTGTAAGCTGAATATTGGCATACTACTAAGCAAAAGGCCATCATCAAGGTGCACCATATGGCGCACTTACAAGAAATTTAAGGTGGAAAAGTATTCAAATTTGTTTATGCTTATAGCCTTTGGCATTATGTTGTGCATAGCTTTATTTGTTATGATGATATATCACATATTTGCTGTGTTTTTAAAAAAATTATGGATAGTTTTCTTAGTTTATTCAAACTCCAAGACAAATAAATGCATTTCCTGTTCCTTTTATCATTGAAGCATGAGTTCTTTTCTATCATACAATGGGTATCTTGGTCTTGTTTGTGGCGGTACACAGTGGTCCATACATGTTGACTTTTTAAATTGCCTATTGAATGAGATTTCAAGTTTGGCAAGGGATGTCTTTAGGTAATTACCATGGTTCCTTGGGAATTTTTGAATTGGTTGCGGAAAGATGGGATGAATCAGTATATTATATCCCATAAGGTTCTTAATTGTTTGGAACTCAGGTATTAGGAAAAAAAGTAAATTCTCTTTTGACCAAATTGCACCAAACATTTGTGAAAGTAAAAGTGCTCTAATAGTTCTCGTTCATGTCATTTGCTGTTTATCAAGGTTTGTAACCGATCAATCTCAAATTATTCTTCCTGTTTTCTGCAGCTAAGCAACTGGTGTGCTGATGATAAGGTACTCTCTGGTGTGGTAGAAGGCACTGAAGCTCAGCCAGTGCCTTAGGAATTTTGCTTACGAAATGATTATATATGAACTTGCCTGTATTGTTTATGGAGACTACTTTCACATGTGATGACTTCATTAAAAACTTGTGAAAACTTTTAACTTGATTTAGTGCAGCGAAACTATTGCTGTCATGACTTGCCTAATCTATATCTAATGTGCAGTTCTGGATTTGTGAACCATTCGTTTTTCTAAATTATTCTGGATTGTTTATATTTATTCGGACTCAAATCCTAGTTGGTGTCGCATAGTTAGCGTTCCATTATTTCTCAATATATAAAAATAATTGTTCCATTTTATTTTTTATTTTTCTTTTTACTTGGCTGGGCCTTTAAGGTAAAGAGCTTGAATACGAAATATTATCTCCTTTATTTACCACCTTTTTTTAGCTTACATTTATATGATTGTACCAACTCAATTATATAAAGAAGATGGCCGAATGACATACACCTACCCAAGGTTTGCTATAAAGACAATGTGGTACTCAAATAGTTTGGAAACAACAAACGGGTACCTTTCGTCATTCTTTATCAGTGATTTTCGTCTGCTGAAGGGTAACATAGTAACCTTATGTAGAGTTGTAAAGTTATAAATTTTAATTATCTTTCTCGGGGTATGGAGCGAAGCTTCTATTGGAAGATTCATTGGATGTTTGACACGTGTCTTCAATAGTTGACATTGAATAATAATAGAAAAAAAAAAAAAGAGTAAACAAAAAGTTGCGGCTTTGTTCTTTGTATGTGAAAAAGCTTAAGCAATTGAATGGCAACCATCGACAACGACCAGCAAAACAAAAACTAGCGAAAGGGGGGGACGAGTTAAAACCAGCCACCATGATGGAGTGAGCTTCATTGAACGGCAACGACATGTAAACAGAGACGATAGATGACGTGTGAGGGAGAGAATCGTCGAGAAGTGGCATAGGTGGAGGACGATTGAATATTGTACGACTGTGTCTATCCAACTCGCACTGCTTATTTTGGCACTGCTCTGGTATTTGAGATGACGGATTCTTCTTTGATATTTAGTTAAAATATATTAACTAGCCTTCCTCTACAGTGGGGGACAATGAATCCTGAGGACTATTTTGAGTACTTTGAATATATATACAAACGGTATTTTCCTACAATCATGTCCATTTTGTATTGCTTGAAGACACGACTATAGTGGAACTGGTTACTTCTTAATATTTTCAACAGTATTGCAAATCATGTACTATTTGATGGATCTAGTAGCTTTTCACTCAGCAATACTAATATGGGTTTCTATATTCACCAACTTGCATTAGATCTCATTTTTAAATTCACAAATAATCCAATTTTGAAAGTCTGGTGTGTTACGGTTCCCTTATTTTGAAACTCTAATGTTAAGTACTTAATTTAATGCATAGAGAGTTCTAAAACTCAAAACACAAAGCAATGGCTGATGACACTCAGCCCATTGATCTTATGTGCACTTGTTAACTATGAAAGATTTGTTGTTGTTCTTGGTTGTCGTAGGTGGTATGTATGTGTGTAGGGTTTTGCGAAAAGTATTTCCCGAGTGAAAGTAACTATGAAAGACTTCTTGTTGTTCTTTGTTTTTCATATTTCAGTGCAGTAGTAAGTCGGTTTATGTTTGGTTCGCAGGATTTGGAAGTCATATATTTCTAAGTCATGTATTTCTTCTTTATAAATTTGATTTGTTTTTGGACAGGTCTGTAGTTAATTATTCAAATTTTTGGTTAGGGAGAGAAGGAATTGGCCTCTTTTTGAATTTTTGGACAGGTCTACAGTTACACTATATTTAAGTCTATCTTCAATATTCATCTTTCCTTTCCAATGATTTAAGAGAATTTTCAGTGGTTTGCCTGTATTGTAGACAAGGCTCAAGAGTTGTCAATATTTCTATCATATAGTATTGAAACATTTAGAAAGGTTTTGAGGTGTTGAATTGAGCCAATAATGCCGCGTTATCGATAGTGCTCAAAATAGATATATACTATATTTTTATCTAGAAACGAGATAAACTCAAGTAGTGAATTGGATGGTATGATCCTTGGTTTTCAATCAAGAGGTTGGAAATAAGATTGTGGGATCTAGCAGTAATCCGTAAAGCCTAACTTCCAATGAGGTGCACATTTCAAGTGATCTATGGCTCATCAAAAATAAAAAAATAAAAAAACTTTGTTGTCTGTATTTTATCAGTTTATACTTTTGTGTTGTTATAAATTATCATTCATTGTGCTTTATCTTGGCAGGTTTTGGCCGCAATTTGTGAGGAGCTACCTCTAGATGGTGTTCTCTTAATATGTTGTTCAAGATTTTCGAAGAGCAACAGGCCATACTTCAAAAGCAATTAAATTTTGGAAGATGTAAACTCCACATATACCATGCTCTTGACTGAAAATGTGTTCTGGGTACGATGGATCACTTAAGCGATCTGGTGTATCGCTTAAGCGATCTAGTAGGTCTGGTAATGCAGTAGATAGATCGCTTAAGCGATCTGGTAAAAGTCTAGTGTATAGGAGCAGATCGCTTAAGCGATCAGTAAATGGCATAAGATCGTTTAAGCGTACACCTGGATATAAATTGTTCAGATAAAGTGGTTTTAGGAAATGTTATTATTACAATAGGTTAGTAACTAACCTTAATCAAAAGGATATGGGACACTAATGAAGAATTATTTGAGAAATAATCTAGTGAGCTTCCTTTTTCATCATTTACTGAAACAAGACTGGTTGAAACGGTGGATTGGTAATTGACATTTTAAACTTAAATATAGGTAACATGTAAATATATCTCCACTACTTGTTGCATTTTCTATGGCAGATATGGTTCTTTGTATCAGTTAACTTTTGAATTTTGAATGGTTAGAAATTAGAGACATGTAAATTTTAGTTACTTTAGTTGTTGTGCTTGAGTAGCTTCTAAACCATATTAAGCTGTCTCCTGCAAAAGTTGAGAGATACTTTGGGCTTCATAACTCAACCAAGCCGGATTATGGATATGATATTACCTTGGCAAGCTTGAGCACTTTATTTTTTGGCTTGGTGCCCTAGAGAGGATCAAGAATGCTACCTTCTTGAAAACTGAGTTTGCTCTGCAACTATGTTTTCTTTCTTGATTTTTGTCCTATCCTCTGTTGTTTGGCAGTCCACCATCCAATATCTTTCTGCCAGTGACAGGTCCGCATGATTGGTCCCATCAGTTAATTTTTGGCTTTAAAGGGGTTATAAGTTTAGGAATTCATGATAATAAACCGACAGAAGATGGACATTAGTCATTATTGTCTGCCATTTAAGCTTGTGCAGTTGTCAAACGGAGCTTTCTCTGAGTTTCTTAGTTAAACCCATGTTGTTTTTGGCTTGACTTTGACTTAAAGTTGAGTTCAGCTCCGGTTTAATATGACCAAGACAAGCCCCAAGTGGTTAAGTGTTATTTGGCTCTTCTCTCTGCCCTATAAATGAGGCAGTTTAGCTGGTTTATTATAGAATTTTCTGTGGAATGATATTTTCCTTCTTGAGATTGTCTGACCTCCTGTTTGCAATTAATAAACTTTAAGATCTTTTGTAATAATACAATGAGAGCTCACCGAACATGTAGGAAAGGTCAAGAGATTTCCAAAATAAAAAAAAAAAAGGGGGAGAAAATACAATTTGAAATGTGAATTTCAATCTTTTATACAATTTGAAATGTGAATTTCAATCTTTTTTGGTATTACAAATTGTGAATATCTGTTATAATGCTAGAATGTATGCTAGCTTTCTTAATCACAATGAACATCCTTCCAATTTGATTTGAAGCTATATTTATGTAGTTTGATCTTGAATTTGTAAGCTGAATATTGGCATACTACTAAGCAAAAGGCCATCATCAAGGTGCACCATATGGCGCACTTACAAGAAATTTAAGGTGGAAAAGTATTCAAATTTGTTTATGCTTATAGCCTTTGGCATTATGTTGTGCATAGCTTTATTTGTTATGATGATATATCACATATTTGCTGTGTTTTTAAAAAAATTATGGATAGTTTTCTTAGTTTATTCAAACTCCAAGACAAATAAATGCATTTCCTGTTCCTTTTATCATTGAAGCATGAGTTCTTTTCTATCATACAATGGGTATCTTGGTCTTGTTTGTGGCGGTACACAGTGGTCCATACATGTTGACTTTTTAAATTGCCTATTGAATGAGATTTCAAGTTTGGCAAGGGATGTCTTTAGGTAATTACCATGGTTCCTTGGGAATTTTTGAATTGGTTGCGGAAAGATGGGATGAATCAGTATATTATATCCCATAAGGTTCTTAATTGTTTCGAACTCAGGTATTAGGAAAAAAAGTAAATTCTCTTTTGACCAAATTGCACCAAACATTTGTGAAAGTAAAAGTGCTCTAATAGTTCTCGTTCATGTCATTTGCTGTTTATCAAGGTTTGTAACCGATCAATCTCAAATTATTCTTCCTGTTTTCTGCAGCTAAGCAACTGGTGTGCTGATGATAAGGTACTCTCTGGTGTGGTAGAAGGCACTGAAGCTCAGCCAGTGCCTTAGGAATTTTGCTTACGAAATGATTATATATGAACTTGCCTGTATTGTTTATGGAGACTACTTTCACATGTGATGACTTCATTAAAAACTTGTGAAAACTTTTAACTTGATTTAGTGCAGCGAAACTATTGCTGTCATGACTTGCCTAATCTATATCTAATGTGCAGTTCTGGATTTGTGAACCATTCGTTTTTCTAAATTATTCTGGATTGTTTATATTTATTCGGACTCAAATCCTAGTTGGTGTCGCATAGTTAGCGTTCCATTATTTCTCAATATATAAAAATAATTGTTCCATTTTATTTTTTATTTTTCTTTTTACTTGGCTGGGCCTTTAAGGTAAAGAGCTTGAATACGAAATATTATCTCCTTTATTTACCACCTTTTTTTAGCTTACATTTATATGATTGTACCAACTCAATTATATAAAGAAGATGGCCGAATGACATACACCTACCCAAGGTTTGCTATAAAGACAATGTGGTACTCAAATAGTTTGGAAACAACAAACGGGTACCTTTCGTCATTCTTTATCAGTGATTTTCGTCTGCTGAAGGGTAACATAGTAACCTTATGTAGAGTTGTAAAGTTATAAATTTTAATTATCTTTCTCGGGGTATGGAGCGAAGCTTCTATTGGAAGATTCATTGGATGTTTGACACGTGTCTTCAATAGTTGACATTGAATAATAATAGAAAAAAAAAAAAAGAGTAAACAAAAAGTTGCGGCTTTGTTCTTTGTATGTGAAAAAGCTTAAGCAATTGAATGGCAACCATCGACAACGACCAGCAAAACAAAAACTAGCGAAAGGGGGGGACGAGTTAAAACCAGCCACCATGATGGAGTGAGCTTCATTGAACGGCAACGACATGTAAACAGAGACGATAGATGACGTGTGAGGGAGAGAATCGTCGAGAAGTGGCATAGGTGGAGGACGATTGAATATTGTACGACTGTGTCTATCCAACTCGCACTGCTTATTTTGGCACTGCTCTGGTATTTGAGATGACGGATTCTTCTTTGATATTTAGTTAAAATATATTAACTAGCCTTCCTCTACAGTGGGGGACAATGAATCCTGAGGACTATTTTGAGTACTTTGAATATATATACAAACGGTATTTTCCTACAATCATGTCCATTTTGTATTGCTTGAAGACACGACTATAGTGGAACTGGTTACTTCTTAATATTTTCAACAGTATTGCAAATCATGTACTATTTGATGGATCTAGTAGCTTTTCACTCAGCAATACTAATATGGGTTTCTATATTCACCAACTTGCATTAGATCTCATTTTTAAATTCACAAATAATCCAATTTTGAAAGTCTGGTGTGTTACGGTTCCCTTATTTTGAAACTCTAATGTTAAGTACTTAATTTAATGCATAGAGAGTTCTAAAACTCAAAACACAAAGCAATGGCTGATGACACTCAGCCCATTGATCTTATGTGCACTTGTTAACTATGAAAGATTTGTTGTTGTTCTTGGTTGTCGTAGGTGGTATGTATGTGTGTAGGGTTTTGCGAAAAGTATTTCCCGAGTGAAAGTAACTATGAAAGACTTCTTGTTGTTCTTTGTTTTTCATATTTCAGTGCAGTAGTAAGTCGGTTTATGTTTGGTTCGCAGGATTTGGAAGTCATATATTTCTAAGTCATGTATTTCTTCTTTATAAATTTGATTTGTTTTTGGACAGGTCTGTAGTTAATTATTCAAATTTTTGGTTAGGGAGAGAAGGAATTGGCCTCTTTTTGAATTTTTGGACAGGTCTACAGTTACACTATATTTAAGTCTATCTTCAATATTCATCTTTCCTTTCCAATGATTTAAGAGAATTTTCAGTGGTTTGCCTGTATTGTAGACAAGGCTCAAGAGTTGTCAATATTTCTATCATATAGTATTGAAACATTTAGAAAGGTTTTGAGGTGTTGAATTGAGCCAATAATGCCGCGTTATCGATAGTGCTCAAAATAGATATATACTATATTTTTATCTAGAAACGAGATAAACTCAAGTAGTGAATTGGATGGTATGATCCTTGGTTTTCAATCAAGAGGTTGGAAATAAGATTGTGGGATCTAGCAGTAATCCGTAAAGCCTAACTTCCAATGAGGTGCACATTTCAAGTGATCTATGGCTCATCAAAAATAAAAAAATAAAAAAACTTTGTTGTCTGTATTTTATCAGTTTATACTTTTGTGTTGTTATAAATTATCATTCATTGTGCTTTATCTTGGCAGGTTTTGGCCGCAATTTGTGAGGAGCTACCTCTAGATGGTGTTCTCTTAATATGTTGTTCAAGATTTTCGAAGAGCAACAGGCCATACTTCAAAAGCAATTAAATTTTGGAAGATGTAAACTCCACATATACCATGCTCTTGACTGAAAATGTGTTCTGGGTACGATGGATCACTTAAGCGATCTGGTGTATCGCTTAAGCGATCTAGTAGGTCTGGTAATGCAGTAGATAGATCGCTTAAGCGATCTGGTAAAAGTCTAGTGTATAGGAGCAGATCGCTTAAGCGATCAGTAAATGGCATAAGATCGTTTAAGCGATCATGGTTATTTATACTCGATCGCTTAAGCGATCAAGTTATCGCTTAAGCGATCCAATATAAATAACCATGATCGCTTAAACGATACAGCAGACAATATAAGCGACTGTGCAGATTCTTTTTAAAATATTTAAACCCTTATCTTTCAAAACAGTAAAGATGAAAATTGCTGGATCCAAAAATCTAATAGTAGTCGAGAGTTGTCACAGCTAGTATTTGAGTATGGTGGGTAAAGCTAAGAAAGAGATTTGCAGAAAGCTTGACGAATGGAGCAGGAGTCGATGTTAAAGACATCACATGAATAAGGAGTATTGGTAAGGAGATCAAAGAGAAGAAAGAAAGGCAAAAAGATAATGTGAATGGTCTGGAAACTGATGCAAAAGCATGTTCGGAGCTCTTGGATACCAAGACCGGTGTTCAGCTGAAAAGATCGTCTCTTGTAAGTCTGATATTGAGCCTGTAAAAAGGACATGGATCCAACACCATGAGTGTTCTGGATCCAGATTTTCATGATTTTGACCAGGATCGTACAGAAAAATCATTTGGTGAAAACAAGTTTGGGCTGTTATGATGATGATGATGGGATGCCTCGTTATTATGCTATGATTCAACGAGCGTGATATCGTTGAAACCCTTCAAAGTGCGAATCAGTTGGCTTAATTCCAAAAGCAACAACGAGCTGGCCCCATTAAATTGGGTTGCTTCGGGCTTTCCCAAGCTAGTGGGAGTTTTGGAGAGGCAAGTATGAAGTCAATAACTCTCTTAATTCTTCTCACATAAGGTTAGATGGGCAAAAGGCACAAGAGGGGCCATTCAAATATATCCTCGGAAGGGAGATGTCTGGGCAGTGTACAGGAACTGGTCCACTAATTGTGAATGAGCAACACTCCAGACGAAGTCATCACAAATATGACATGGTGGAAGTGCTAGAAGATTACAATGAGAAGACGGGTATCACTGTTATGCCCCTCATTAAAGTTCCTGGTTGAAGACAGTGTTCGCCAGCCTCTGGAGCAAAGTAAAACTAGAGAATTCCAAGAGAGAGATGTTTCGATTCTCTCACCAAGTTCCTTCTTACTTGCTCCAGGTCATGAAGGCCATAATGCTCCTAAGGGTTGCTTGGAACTTGATCCTGCATCCACACCTTTGGAACTTCTCCAAGTGTTAACTGAAGCTCACCTGGAAGAGAGGAATCTACAGGCAAAGGTAAGGAAGAAATATCCGTCGAGTGTGTGAAAAATATCGAGGAAGAAGAGCTGGTGAAGAATGGCAAACCAAGGAAAAAATCATTGCAGAAGATGTGCATAAAAAAGTTGATACAGAAGGAAGGAAACGGGAAGAAAAAAAGATGTTGTGGGTCAAACGGAGACGATAGCAAAATCAGGAAGATTCAGGTATTGATCTATTACCAATTCAGCGTTTTTGAGTAATGGGCTAACCGAAGAAGAGATACTTATGAAATCAACACAATGCTAATCTTAGCAGTTCTTTTTTGCAAAGACAGGGTTGAGGGTAATTAGACTTGTTGGTTAAGGTAATTTAATCTCCATGGCATATAAGAAAAGTCCTATTGAAAGAGTAGTTATTATTTTTTTATGGTTTTTAGACACCCTCTTAAAGTAAAATCTTCTTAGCTGTGAGTTGATGTGCCCTGTTCTGCAATTTATATTCAAAATTTGATCACAGATTACTTTTGCAATCCTTGTTCTCGACCTCATGGAAACTTTGGATGTAGTTCCATCTAATATCAGCCTTGCTGCTGAGTGTATTTCTCTTTAATGTGGTAAAGAGAATAAATTTTTAAGCACTGCTGGATTGCTGCAATATTGCTAAATATTGACTGTAGATTTGGTCACTTATGAAAGAATATCATTGGTCGTAGCATAAAAAATTGGGAATTTATAATGATCATTGAGAAGAAAATATATTGAGGGAATTGAAAACCTTGTGAGAGAGGAACATATTCCGTCGTTATTATTAACCTATACTTTATATATAAAAATTGTATATTTTATTAGTGGAAAATTGTTTTAAGACTTGAGTTACAATGTGGATAAAAAACAAGTATATATTTGATTAGATTGAATTAAGGAGGTTTTATAAGTGAAGAAGGAAGTGGGCAACAATTCTAAAAATAAGTAGGTAAAGCATAATTCAACCTGTGAAATGTGGTACATGCATTTGTAGTAGTATGTTTGAAGGTGAGGATATTAGTTTAAATAAATTTATTTAAGAAATCAAAACTTTAAGGAGTGGTTCCCTGGTCAAATATTGTTTAAAAAAAGAGGTTTCCTTAAAATTTTATTTGAATTATGTCCTTGTTAGCTTCAATGAAAAACCATATACTAACAAAGATTTTAATATAAATAATATAAAAGAAAAACAAAACATAAAAAAAACATAAAAATATAAATGATAGAAATAAACATATAAAGTCAACTAATAATAAAATTATATAATTATAACATCTATAGCAAAAATACCAATTATGACTAAAGTATACTCAATCGATAATATCTAATAATGTATTTTGTAATATATTAAGATAAGCTATACCATTTAGAAAAAAAAAAAAAACATAAAAAAACTAACAACTAAACTTGAAAAAGACAATAAATAGATTAAAGACAAACTGAACAGAGAAACGTCGAGAAGAGAA